TCCGTATTGACAGAGAGGTGATGTGAAGAAGCAGTGTGCTATGCTACTTCCAGCCTTCACTCGGGCTGCGCTGAGTGCTGACCCAGCGCTGTAGCTGCTGACGTCTGGCTCGAACTTGCCCACGTTCGCTGAGGAGCGACAGGGCCTGCGCCCACTGCCCGACCTTCTCACGCGCGCAGATCTCGGGAATGTAGCTGCAGCGTCTGGCTGCAGCGTCGCCCTCCGCCCTGATCCCACTGCTGTAACTGATCACGTTAGGCTCCAATGCCGCCTGCCGCATTTTGCTGGGCAGCGACAGGGCCCGCTGCAGCGCCCGCCCTTCTCGCACCTGCCCCGGCGCTGCAACTGCTGACAACGGGCTCCAACTTAGCTTCCCCCATTCCGGCAATGGCGCCGGAGCGTGCTGCCATCCCCCGATTTCTTGACACGCTGATTCCAGCGTCGTAGCTGGCAACGTTGCGCTCCAACTCAACCCCTGACACCCACTGAGCAGCGACAGTGCGACTTGCCAATGCTCTCCCCTGGCGCGCGCGCTGCTCCCAGCGCTGTAGCTCGCTACGTCCAGCTCGCACCTCGCACCTCGTACTCGACGCCTCTGCAGCTCCCCGCCTGGGCCCGGGGACGCGGCAGCGCCGTGTGTGAACGGGGGGTGGGCGGGGGGGGCGTGCCCTGGGTGGAGTGAAGACGGAGCGCGCACGGGGGGGTGGCGAGTGACGGCCCTTGGCCGCCAGCACCGGGATGCAAGAATACCTCGAGCCCCCGAGGAAGGCCCCGGGCCCGTAGCCTCGGCAGCCCCCCGCGTGCATACAGGGTCGCGTTGTGGCCCCCCAGGGTCGCCGCTAACCGCCGCTGATGTTTGTGAGCCTGTAGAGTGACCAACTCAGAGGTCGTAGCTGATCGCCGCTATGATCTCTCTTTCATTTCGTACCGGGGTGCAAGAGCAACCTGGGCCCCCGTGGGATGCCTCGTGCTCGTAGTCTCTGCTACTCCCCGCGTGGAGTCCCTTGAGCTCCCGCGGGATGTCGCGTGCTCGAAGCCTCTGCAATCCCCGCCTGGATCCAAAGCGACAGCCGCCCTGGGTTGAGTGAAGACGGAGCGTGCACGGGGGGGGGCGAGTGCCGGCCCTTGGCGGACAGCACCGGGATGCCAGAGTGCCTTGAGCTCCCGCGGGGGCCCCGGGCCCGTAGCCCCTGCTGCCCCCCGCGTGCATCCAGGGTCGCGACCCAGGGAGGGCAATCTGCTGCCAGTGGACTGTCTCACTGAGGGCGATGCTGTCACCTCGAAGGCCGACGCATCCGTGGGGGTGTGTGGTGGTGCACCCGGGGGCGCCGCTGACCGCTGCTGAAATGCGTGTGTGTGTGTGTGTGTGTGTGTGTGTGTGTGTGTGTGTGTGTGTGTGTGTGTGTGTGTGTGTGTGTGTGTGTGTGTGTGTGTGAGTGTGTGTGTGTGTGGGGGGTGCAGCCAGTGCTGACGCGCTGGGGGCGGTGCTGCCGCATCGAAGCCGACGCCCCTGCGGGAGGGCTGTGGTGGTGCCTCCAAGGAGCCGCTGACCGCAGCTGAAGAATGGAGAGGAGGTGCCGTGCCCGTAGTCTCAGCTGCCCCCCGCGTGGACCCAGGGTCGCGTGCAACCGCCGCTCGGGGATTGGTGGGGCTCGCCGCCGCGATGGGCAAAGTGAGGGCGGAGGGGGGCGGCGGGGCGGGCGCCCAGGGACATGGCTGCTGGACAGGGGCCCGCGGGGACCTTCGCAGCCAGTGCGGGGCCCGACGTGGGACCGCAACGGCTATTGTGGGGAGACGACCAGCCACTGTGTTTTGCCCTTCTTGGGGGCGTGGGTGTCCGGGTGTCGCTTTGCCGCATGGTGATCCCTGTCCTGGCCGCCGCTTCGACCCGGGTGCCGATGCCGCAGCCGGGCCCAGTCGACGCCAAGGCCCAGCGCGTCGCTAACGGCCCGTACGTCGCACTTGTGGCTGCGGAAGGACTCCAGGAAGCGGGGGCAGGTTTGCGGGTCGCGCCGAAGTGGGTCGAGCGCGCCTTTGCTGCGAGGCCCGGCCTGCTGCTTGGCGAAGGCGTGCCAGGTGCCTGTGAACATTGTTCCCAGGGTGACTTGGAGTCGCCTTATCGCATCGCCGGGGGTCTCCCCGGGAAGGTCCCGCTGGGTGGTGTCGATCTTTGCTTTGTGCAGCTGCTGTCCCGTGTCGGGGTCTGGGGGCTCTGGCCATTGGCGCGGCTCTGGCCATTGTCGCTGCCGCGTGTTCTGGCCGCAGGTCTCCGGCGAACCGGCCCCGCTGTCCTGGACAGTGGGCTCGCAGTCTGTTCGCGACAGTTCCGATTGCGCGCCTGGCGGAGCCCTGTGGTCAGATGCGGGCCGCATGGTCGGCCGCCAGGCAGGGGCCGGATCGCCTCCGGCAGCCCGGGCGGGCGCTGCCCTGGTGTGTGCGTGGAGAGGCCCCTTTCGCTGGCGTTCGCCTTCGGGCCTGTGCCCGCCGTCGCTCACGGGCGCGCCCCCTTCGGTCGACACGAGACTCTCGCCGGTCTGGGGGGCGCCGCTGGTCGCGCCGGGTGCGTGCACGTACGGCGACGCCGTTTCTGTTGCCAGAGCACAAAGTTCTTTGTCAGGCGTGCCCTGGGCGTCCGGAGGGAGCGCCTGAGGTTCGCCGTCCGCTAGAGTGGGTTCACTGGCAGGGGAAGGAGGGCGAATCGGCTCGAAGGGGTTTCTCCCGACGAGCCAGCGGATGGCTTCGATGTCCTGCGTCTGGGCGGCTGGTCCGTGCCCCCCCGGTTGGGTCTGTGGCGTTCCCAGAGGGCAGCTGACGGTCTGCCTGTTTCGTGGAGAAGATGGGGGTGGCGCGGTGTGGCCGGCGAGCCCCTGCTGGTCCAGGATCCCGCTCCGCGGACTGTTGCAGCTGTCGTCCGCACTTTCGGGGGCCAAACCCTGTCTACCCGGTTCTTCTTCAGGGGCGCGGGAGACGGCTTGTGCCTCTTCCGCCCCTTCAAAGGCCTCCGCCGCTTCAGGCCCCCGATCAGGGGACAAGGGTACCTCCTTCTGACCCGTTCCGCTCCCTTCAGGCCTGACGGACGCTGTGTCTTCTTGTGGGTCCTGCTGGCTTCCAGAGGTGCCCGAAAGGCCGTCAGGGAGCAGGGGTACCTCCTTCTGACCGTCAGAGAGGGTGCTTTGAGGTCTCGCGGGTCTCTCGTCCCCAGGGTGGGTCTGCTGCTGTTAGGGCTGCTGTTGCTGCTGCTGCAGCACCTGTTGCTGCTGCTGAGGCTGCGGTTGCGGGTGCTGCTGCTGCGGGGTTATGTTGTTGCTGCTGCTGCTGTTGCTGTAGCTGCTGCGGCTGCTGCCCTGCTGCGGCGCCTGTTCGTTGGGTGCCTGTGGCTGCTGCTGCTGCTGCTGCTGCAGCTGTTGGGTTCCGTTGCCGCTGCTGCTGCTGCTGCTGCTGCTGCTGCTGCTGTGCACGCTTTGGGGGGTCTGCGGCTGCTGCTGCCGCGGCTGCTGCAGTAGCGGGTGCTGCTGCTGTTGCTGCTGTTGCTGGAGCTGCTACTGCTGCTGCTGCTGCAGCTGCTGGGTTCTGTTGCTGCTGCTGCTGCTGCTGCTGCTGCTGCTGCGGCTGCTGTTGCTGCTGCTGCTGCTGCTGCTGCAGCAGATGCTGCTGCTGCCGCGGCTGCAGCTGCTGCCGCGGGGGGGCGCCGAGGGCGGCGGCGGCGCGCCGCCCCCGCCGCTGCGCCAGCGGCCGCGCCGCCCGCGGCCGCGGGGGGCGGCCGCGGCGGCGCAAGCCGTCGCGCCCTCCGCCGCCGCCGCCGCCGCCGGCGGGGGGCCGGCAGCGGCTGCGGCGGCCCGCGGAAGCAACTGCGGCCGCTGGCAGCGGCGCCGGCAGCCGCGGCAGCGCGTGCGCGGCAGCCGGCCCCAGGCCGCAGCGCGGGCCCGGCGGGCGCGGCTCTGTCAACCGGCCAGCTGCCGCGGCCGCGGCGGCAGGGGGCAGGCGGCCGGCGGGGGCGGCCACAGCGGCCGAGGGCGCGGCCCGTTGGCTGTGGCGGCCGCCGCGCGGGGCAGCCCGCGCCGCCGCCGCCGGGCGCAGGGCAGGGCGCACGCGCGCCGGGCCGGCGGCGCCAGCGGCTCCAGCGGCGCCGACGGCGCCCGCGGCGCTCCGGCCGGCGGCGGCGCCAGAGCCAGCAGCGGCGGCAGCAGCGGCGGCCGGCCGCGCCGCCGCGCGGCCGCGGGGGCAGCCGCGGCGGCGTGGCCACCGCGCCCTCCGCCGCCGCCGCCGCCGGCGGGGAGCCGGCAGCGGCAGCGGCAGCGGCAGCGGCAGCAGCGGCGGCAACCGCCGCCAGCCAGGGCGGTGGCGGCCAGGCGCCAGCCAGGGCCGAGCTGGGCCTGCCGCCGCCGCCGCCAACCTCCGCCGCCGCCTCCCGCGCGCCGGCCTCCAGGGGGGAGGCGGCGGCGGCGGCAGCAGCCGCGGCAGCGGCAGGCGGAAGACCCGGGGGGGCGGCCCGACACGGGCGGCGGTGGCAAGGCGCTGCCGCCGCCGCAGGGCGGCGCCAGAGGGGCCGCCGCCGCCGGGAGCCATCGCGACAGGGCGGGCCCGGCGCGAACCTGGAATAGGGGCGGGCTCGAGCCGAGACGGCTTGAGCCAAAGGGCTATGGAATTTCCGTTGGCATTAGCTGGCAGGCAGAATCCTTGTTCGATGTGCCTGCCTATTGTAGTACACGTCCCTCGTAATATTGGAAACTGTGCAGTTGCTCCAAACTTGTGCATGCCTTCTGTAGTACACGTCGCTCGTAATATTGGAAGCTGTGCAAATGCTCCAGGCTTTGTGACCTCTGGACGACCACATAATGCATGTACTGCTGCGTGCCCATCTTCGTAGGCTCATGTGTGTAAACACGTGATACGGACCACGGAAATAGCACTTAACACTGCATGACGTACACCAACATGGGTAAGCTCGCATAGTGGGCAAGCGTCCCAGTCCATGCTTTCCTTCCTGCTGCCCATCCCATCCAGTCTCAGGCGAAACCAGCTCTCCCTGGCAGGCGCACAAGTGTCGCAAATCCTGGTGGGGCTTGCCGCCGAAAGCGAGGGACGGACCAAGCGACCGAAGGCGGCAAGGGTGACGGGGCAGGAGCGCGACAAGTGACTGAGGTGGGCACAGACTGGCAAAGGGGCGCGAACAACAATGACCAACTTCGTGCAGGTAGCCAACGTACCCGTCTTCTCGTTTGGGGCCTCACGCTGGGAGTAGGGGGGGCCTTGCTCGCAAAAGCCGAGCCCCAGCCCTGGCTAGGCACTGCACTCCTTTTGGCTGTGCCGAGCTCTTGGGCGGGGTGAAGGGGGCTCTTGCAATGCATGCTGATCCGGTCCTCCACCTCCCGTGTACCTCCGTCCCTCTGCCCGTCGTCGCGGTGGAAGGGGGGTCGGGGGAAAGACAGGATCACACTGACACGTCCAGTGGATGCGAAGTACGGTGGGGGCACCGGATACGGAACCCTTAGATGAGGAATCCAGGGTCTGGAGACCGGTGGAACTCCAATCGAGGCTTGGCCATAGATACGCCGCCCGCATCAGATAAGGAATCCTCCAGGGTCTGCAGCTTCCTGAGCGCATTCCTTCACCAACGCCCTGGCAGCCACACGGTGCCAAGCAACAGAGCTTCGGAGGATCGCCATGGGCGGCGCGGAAAGATCCGCCACCGCACCCCCTGGGCACGTTGGGGCGCGTTGTATTGCATGCTGGCTGCCTGGTAGGATTTCGGTAGTTTTCTGAATCTGGCGGGGCACGCGTCCCCTGAAATGTCGAAGCCAATAGCTTGGCGTGTTCGAGAAGCTGCTAGAAGCGACGCCCATAAGAACAACATGCAGTGGAAACCATCTTCCCGTGTTGGCAAAATTCGTAGATGGCCGCTGCGGCGAGACACCAAATATGTACCTTTTGGGTGTGCTGATGTTGCGCTGTGCGCTAACATTGAAATCCAAATGACACTTGATGCCCAAACGCTCGTTCCACTTGTTTGAATATTCTGGCGCGCGCCCGCTTTCCGCTTGTGTTGAACA